ACAACAACAACAACATATACCTATTGTTTGGTAGCAGTAATTAGAATACTCACAGTGTAATCATGCTTCCCTGCTGCTTCTCTGTCTTTCTCATTTCCATTACTTCTCCTGTCTTACCCCTTCTTGCCTTATGGGCTTAATCCTTAGGCAAATGCTGTCCTTTTTGACCTTCTGTGATTGGCTGGTGTTAGGAGTGCACATCTTCCTTGTGTCATTGACCACCTCCTAGGCCTGTATATTATTTGGCTGAAAGTTGAGCCATATGATACATCTCAACTCCAGGTTCTAGCAATGATTTAAGGCCACAGTCTCAGGAGTTACACCAGTCTTTGTAAACAAGTAAATCTAGCAACTTCCCCCCCCCCCGCCCCCATCTCCCCTATCCTCCTGCCAGCCTTCACACCCTTTTTCATCTGAGGATTGCCAAGGATGTTTTGACAGTTGCTCGACACTGCGTCCAGAGTTTGATTTTGTTTGTCATTTTTGCCCAGTGGCTGCAGGTTCATAGGGAAGACAGTGGCTAGGATGACTGGGGCGGGCGGGTGAGACACAAACTTTACTAGGAGTTTTGCACTTCATGGTAAAGCTTGCTCAGTTGCTCCTGGTGACACTAGAGTGGCAACCCCTTTACATTTTAGAGCCAACTGAAACAGAACAGATGGAAAAGCACCCGCCGCCTCTGAGGCTATTGGACATACAAACCACTACTTCAGCCTACACAGCCCCTCATTCTCTCCTTCACCATCCCTCGCAGTGGTGTATAAGTATGGCAGGGAAGAGAGCTGGTAACTGCAAGAGCCAATACACTAGTCGCCTTATCTCCGCTGCCCAATCAGAACAAGGAGGAGGCGGGATGAACGTTGATAATTCCTCTGTGGCTCTTACTGCTAGAAAACCATGTCCTCTGGAGGGCAGAGGTTTGGACACTGCCTAAATCTAGCAATTGTTATGCTTTTGAGCTTTGTTCCATACTTTCTTCCACTCTATCTAGCATCCTTCGTCCTTCAGTTTTGGTGAGATCCGTTGTGGCAGCTGGGCACCATCCAGTGCTTCTGGTCTCAAGGTCATGGAAGTTGAGGTCTCAGTAGCCCATGAGTCCTTCAGACTACAGAGTTCATTTAAATTGAGGGAGTCTCTGGGTAACTCAAACAATTAATAATCCCTGCTGCTAACAGAGAGGTCAGTTGCTAAGGTGCACCCCATGGTGCCTCAGAACGGAAGTCCAGGAGTAATCATCTGGAGGATCATCCACTGAGAACCCTGTGGAGCAGAGTTCTGTTCTGACACCAGAAGCCGTTCCTGTGAATCCAAATTGACCTGAGCTATTAAGTTAAAACAGACACGGGGGAAACATACTCCTTTCTGCTACAAATACCCCTGGAGATATTATTTAGAAATTTACCTATGCATAGAATAAACAGGCACACATAATTGAGGACACACTTAAAAAACTCCTTTAAACTTTCCCACTTTTTATATTGATGTCATTGTACATTCACATGCAGTTGTAAGAAATAAGAAATAATACAGAAAGAGCCCCTGTACCCTTGTTTCTCCTTGGAGTTTTGGATTTTGAAGCTCCATCTCACATATTTTGGGCACATGGCCCGGAGGGATTGGTCCTTGGAGAAAGACATCATGCTTGGAAGGGTGGAGGGATAGTACAGAAGAGGTAGACCCCAGATGAGATGGATTGATACAGTAACTGGGGCAGTGGGGGTAGGTGTGTCGGAATAAGTGAGACTGGCTTAGAATAGAGCAGGCTTCCAAGCTGCTGTATGTATAGGGTTGCTGTGGGTCACAGGTGACTTGACAGCACATAACAACAATATCCTTTACACAATTCCCTTCAATGGTGACATCTTGCAAAACTAGTAAAATATCACGGGTAGGATATTGCCCTGGGTAACAGCAAGATACTAAACATTTCTGTCACCACAGAGACCCTTGAAGATCTTTTATAGCCATGCCTCCCTCTGCCCTTGACAACACGGATCTGTTCCCAGTCCTGTAGTTCTGTCATTTCAAAAATGCTGTGAGGTCATGCAATGTGTGACATTTTAGTATTGGCTGTTCCCTCGAGATCCACCCAGATTGGGGTGTATATCAGTATTCCTTTCTTTTTATTGCTGTGTACTATTCGATGATACAGATGTACCACATAAAGACTCTTTTGGAACTTGCAGGCCTTTTCAGCCCTGTTCTCCTCCCTTGTGTTCACAGTGATGCCCAGTGATTATAACTGTGTGAAGCTGAGAAGTGACTGCTCAGGACCATCCCTGCAATGGTACGCCCGTCCTCAGAACAAGATGAGAAGGCCCAGCTTGTTCAAAAACATTGTCAAGTAAGTCCAGCCCCTCGGGCCATGAGCTTCCTCTCGTTTTACTTGAACTGTGTAGAACTGGAGGAACTCTTGTGGCTTCGTGTGTTATTTGTTGGCACTGCTAACCAAGAGGTCATGGATTTGAATCAACCAGCCGCTCCGAGGAGGAGAGATTCTGAAGACTTACCTCTTCAGAAGCCTGATAGAGAGGGTCGTGATGAGTGAGAAATTACTTAAAGCAGTGAGCTAGTTTGGTGCAGAATTGGGAGATTTTAGGGAGGGCCCTAAGGCTGAGCAGGGTCAGGGCAGCACGGTTGGTCTTGACACTAACATAGCAGGGTCCTCTGAAAGCTTGCTGAGATAAGACTCTGCACTGTGGGACTGTGCTGAGCGGTGAGCAGATCCCGGCCAGGGTGAGGTTCCCTCATCCCAGCGCTCAGACCCAGGAGAGCTGCTCTTCCCCTGCTCCTCACACCAGTATTTAACATGAGAGGGTTTTTTCCCTTAGCTATTTTAAGTTAATATAAAATATGTTTAATTAAAGCTCCCTAAAGGCATTTGAATAACATCAAATATTAAATACTAAGATGGATGGCAGGTGTTCCAGCCAGGTTACCTTTGTATCTGGAGTCCCTGGGTGGTGCAAATGCTTAATGCTCAACTGCAGACCAAGAGGCTGGAGGTTCAAGTCTAGCCAGAGGGACCAGAAAGAACTCAATGATCTACTTTGGAAAAACCAGCCTTTGGAATATCTGTGGTGCACATGGACAAAGTCGCCATGGGTCAGCATTGGCTGGGTGGCAGCTGGTTACTTGGTTGTGGTCATGTTACTAAAGGACCTGCCAATTTTGTTTGGTACCAGCTCAACCAAGTTGAAAATTACCAGAAGATTAAAAACCCAGCCTTCAAATCTAATCCCCCATTTCTTTACTGATTCAGAAGGTGGAGGGGGAGGGACATATATGTTATTACACTCTTGAGTCACTTTCTGTGCCCTTTTTAGGGGAGTGTTGGTGGCAGTCCGTCCCTGCCATGTGGGAGTGGGGCAGATGGACCACCTCGGTGCATACCGCTGTGCTTTGGCTGCTGTAGACGCCGGGCCAGCCTGCAGCAGCTTTTCTTTTTGTCTGTATGTAGGGTTTGTTTTTTTTTTTAATCTCAGTAAGGAGATTATCACATGTCCTGAAAGCACTTTGCTGGGCATTACTTTCCCAGGATTATAAATTCAAAAGATATTAAAGAAGATTCAGTGAACCTTCTTCTCACCCTGGCTTCCCTGTCTCCTAAAGACAAGTAGTATTGCTAATGCATCCCCTGTATTACAGGATTCTGTGTGTACATGCGCACACTTTCCTTTCTCTCTATTTTCTACAAAAAGTTGTTTTTATTTCCGTTCATTTATGAAAAAGACAGTTATGAATGACTGTTTTGGGGGGGTAAATTGAAATGGTACCTCATTTCATCACAGAGGTCAATTTAAAGTTGACCGTCTTTGCCACAGGGGAGGCTGACTTCTACTGAGATTAAAGTCAGTAGAAGATACTCATCTGTCTTGATTACCGCAGTGACTGTACTGGAAACCTCATTGTGTGTTTCCTCCCCTAGATGTACGTTGTTTATGTTCGGAGTATGGATCTTTTATATCGTCAAGAAAAATTATGCTTTCGAAGAATGTGACACGAGAACGCCTAATGTGAATCCCAACCATGTTAAGGTCAGCTCTTCCCCTGGGGATGGGTCTTATCTGTTGAATAAATTAAAACATATCGAAGCATGCATTTAAACAATAATGTCATTTCTATGAAAATGAAGGTTCCAAACTGTGTTAGTGCTCCAAATCCAGACTGAAGACAGACCAAGGCAAGCAGCCACAGGACTCTGTCTGCGTCACGCAGCGAACTGTGGCACCTGCCATGCCACAGGACAGGTCCATGGAACGGCACGGGCCTCTTACCGGCACGGGCTGCACCTGCAGCTTCATGCTCAGTCTTAGTGCATTCACATTCCATTTCAATGTTTTTCTTTCAATTCAAACTTGTTTTAAAACATAAACTGAAACCAACCTATTAAATGATAGTTTTACTGATTATGTGCGTGCTTGGATTCTTCACACGCTTTGACCTCAGCCCAGCTCGGAAGAGGAGAAAATGGAAAATAACGTAGTGTGGGATCTTTGTTATCTGGTGTTGCTCTGACTGATACAGGTGGTTTTAACAAACAAATTTATCTTCACACCATGTAGGAAGCTAGAAGTCTGCAAATGAGCACCATAGTAGGGGGACACTCTGGAGGAAGGGAAGCGTCAAATCCCTTCCTGGACCTCCTACTTGGCTTCCTGGAATCTTGGAGATCTTCTTTAGTCTTGGCTCATTTCTCCCTCTAGTTTACTGGTTTGATCTTTTATATTTTAAGAGATATTTGCTCAAGATAGAGCCTGTGCTTATCTTGCCTCATTAAAACCTAGCAAACAGTCCATTCCTGAAGACATTATTGCTGCAGCCAGATTGTTGTTCAGTGCCCTCCATTCAGATCCAGCTCATCAGGAGCCTTGAACAGCAGAAGGAAACCTGCCCAGTCCCAGGCTGTCCTCCTCTGCTGCTGTGGTCGCACACTTCTGCAGCTACCATATCAGACTAGCTAGCTCGAGAAGGTCGTCTTCAATTTTGCTAGCCTCCACTTTGGCTAGATGATAGCCTTTCTCTAAGGTCTGACCTCTCTTTATAACATCCCCAAAGTTTAGGAGATGAATCTCACAGTTCCTCCAAGGAGCACTCTGGCTGCCCTTCCTCCAAGACCTGTATGGTTCTTCTTTCCGCAGTCCATCGGATATTCAGCACTCTACCACCACAACTCCAAGGTTGCATTTTGCCCATCTTCCTTATTCATGGTCCAGTTTTCACATGCACATGAAGCAATGGAAAATATCATGGTGTGGGTCAGGCTCCTTTTAGTCTAGCAAGTGACAACCTTGCTTTTTGGTACTTTTAGGAGACTTTTTGGGCACATACACTTTTTCTTTGACAGGATAGAGAACAGGAGATATTCTTGTGTTGTTGTTGTGTACCCTAGAGTCAGAACCGACCCATAGCTGACCCTTAAGCAGGTTTTCAGAGGCAGGTAATTGCATGGGAGGAAATTGCCGGTCCTTCTCCTGTGGAACAGCTGGTAGCCTCGAACCGCGTGCCTTCAGGATTACAGTGCAGGTTTTTGCCGCTAGGCCACAGGAGGCCTTTTGAGTAGATTTACCCAGTGCAGCACATCTTGATTTCTTGATTGCTGCTACCATGAGTGTTGATTGTGGATCCAAGTAAAATGAAAAACTTCTTTTTTCTATTTATTATGATATTGTTTATTAGTCCACTTGTGCAGATTTAACTTTATTGAGATATGTATAATCTGTACTGATGGCTGTAGTTTTTGAGCTTTGTCATAAAGTGCTTCAAGTTTTTATTGTTTACTGCAAGAAGTTGTATCATTTACATATTGCAGGTTGTTAATGAGTCTTCCTCCAGGCCTGATGCTATTTTCTTCTTCCAGTAAATTTCTCAGATTATTTCTTCAGCATACAGATTGAATAAATTATACAATGAAAGAATACAATCTTGACACACACTTTCCTAATTTTAAACCATGAAATATCCCCTTATTCTCTTTGCTTGCTTCTTGGTCTATATACAAGTTCTACATGAGCATAAAGTTAAATGATCTTGCACTTCTGTTCTTCACCATGTTAATCACAATTGGTTATGATCCACACAGATGCCTTTGCATGGTCAATAAGTATAGAGAAAATTTTCCGATGTTCTCTATTTTCAGCCAAGATCTGACGTCAAAAATGATACTCTTTTGATCCACATCCTCTTCTGAATCCAACTTGGATTATTGGCATCTTCTTGACTTATTACTCCAATTGCTTTTGAATTATCTTCAACAAGAGTTTGTGTGTGATATTAGTTACATTATTCTTTAATTTCTATATTCTGTTGGGTCACCTTTCTTTGAAATGGGTACAAATATGAACCTCTTTGAAACAGTTGAGCAACTGGTTGTCTTCCAGGTATCATGGCATAGAAAAGTGATGATGCCCAACACAACATCCTTTTGTTGAAAAATCTCACTTGTTTTGTCAGCTCCTAGGAGCTTGGTTTTCATCAATGCTTTTAGTGCAGCATGGGATTCGTCCTTCAATACCATTGCTTCTTCCTCATATGTTACTTCCTGAAATGGTCAAGGATCATCCAACTCTTTTTCTTTACTCTATGTATTTCTCCCACCTTCTGTTGGTGTTTCATGAGCCACTTAATATTTTGCCCATGAAAGCCTTCACTATTACAACTCAAGGCTTGACTCTACAGCAAAAGGAAGAAGTGCTGAAGTAAGAGGGCTGAATAGATTTCAGAAGGCACCTTGAGAAGGCAAAGCATTATAATGAATGTGCAAAGGCTTGAGGCTAGAAAATAAAAAAGGAATAACAGACTTCGCATTTCTCAAACTGAAATTATGGTAGGGGGAAAATAGAGGGAAATCCAAGCTTGTAATTGCAATAGTGAAAGATTTTGTGGGCAAAATAATTGAACAAGTACAAGCATAGAAGTTGGGATTTAGAGCACATATTTGGGGGGAATACAGTTTAATCCCAAAAGCGTCTTTCTCAGGACAGGCAGTGCTTATGGAAGGCTGCGTGTCAGGAAGGGAGAGCAGGGATTTGCCCTGTCTCATGGGGTAACATCTGCACAGCCATATTTGAGTGCACAATCACAGACTTCTCCGCCTGTGTTACTGAGGATTTTAGGACGGCCCTGTGAAAAGCCAGCACACCACTTGGCATATGACTTGTTCCTCCCCCATTAGAATCCCAGCTTTTAATGTTTCTGTTTATACATCTCCCTGCCCTTTCACTTTTTATGATCCTTATGTGCTTCTTTTACTTATTGTTATATATAGGCTTCTTGTTCTTATGAGAGCTCTGGTGGTTGTTTGTAATTGTATTTATGGCTTGCTTGACTTCTCAGGTTTTGTATTAATGTTCTAGAGCAGCCATAACAAAGTGCCACAAACTGAGTGGCTTAAAGGAACAGAAATCTGTCCCTTCACAGCTCTGGAGCCTGGAAGTCTGGTATTGGAGGGTCAGCAGGGCTGGTTCTTTCTGGAAGCTTTGGGGAAACCATTTCTTTTCTCCAAGCCTCCAGCCTGCAGCCCTGAGCATTGCTGGATTTGAAGCTGCTTCACTCCAGTCTCTGCTCCATCTTTGCTCACCTTTTTCTGTATCTGTGTGTCCTTGTAATACCAGCTGTCAGCTCTATGTTCAATTTTTACAGTTAGTGATTTTACATTCTAGTGCGGGATTTCCCCTTTAATTTGTTTCTTTTTCTAAATCAGTGGACCTTTTAAATGCTGATGTCACTGTATGTGTGCTTAAATTGCTCACTAAAGTGAGCCCAGGTTGGAAGAAGAGATACTTTTAAATAATGTAGAGTGGTATCTTAGCTATCCAGTTAGTGCTGCTAAAACAGAAATGCCACAGGTGGATGACTTCAGCATACAGAAATATTTTCTCACAGTTTAAGAGGCTGAAAGTCCAGCTATCAGGCACCAGCTCTCGAGGATGGCCGTCTCTCTCTGCTGGCTCTGGGAGGGAGGTCATCATCTGTGGGCCTCCCATCCCTTGGAGGTCTACAACTTGTCCTGTAACTAGAAGGTTCTCAGCACTGGGACCTTAGATTCAAAGGACACTGTTCCTAGCTCTTCCTCTTTTGCTTGCTCTTCTTTTTGCTTGCATCTCTTTGTATATCTTATAAATGAAGGGCAACATAGATTACATGCCAGGGCGACATTCCTTACGTGAGATCCGGGCTATGACCCGAATAAGGACATTGTATCCATCCCAGTCCCCTCACAGCTGACCCACTGATTACATCCTTATATAACAACTGCCAGACCCAGCTACAGTGACAAGCCAGAATTGGAGGGTACATTTCAATCCACAGCATGTGGTATGTACCGAATGCTAATCAGTGCTTCCCATGTGTTACCCTTGTTTAATTATCTGACTGGAGATGCTGGGATCACTCCAGGCGAGGGCGTTAGCTTATGATCAGACTGCTTGTCCAGGTTCACATCCAGTTTAGTTAACAGTAATCTTAACTTCAGGGAACTCTGGTAACAAAGTCTGTAGAGAGTTGTCCTCCTGACCTACAGGTGGTACCTCAGGCAGGTCAAGGCCACCAGGGACAGCTCAGGACAAAGATGGATGCTTGCCTCCCCTGTGATTACTGCCTCTGAAGACCTACTGGAGGGTCAGCTATGAGGCAGTTCCCCCTCGATGACAGTGATTTGAAGTTGTTGTTAGATGCCGTAGAGTTGAGTATGTTGAGAGCTTACTATTTTCCAGGAACTGATCCCAATCGAGTGCTTTAGCAGGTGTGGTTCATTCACTTCTCACAGCCCAGGGGCTGCAAATACTGTTACTCTTCCCATTTTACAGCACAGGAAACTGAGGAGCTCCCTTAACTTTCCCAAGGTCACCTTAGCTAGTCCGTGGTGGGGTCAGAACTCAACTCAGCAGCCTGGCTCCCTAGTCAGGGATCCACATCATACCCCCTGGGTGGGGAGTGTCCACAGCAGGGACACTACAAGTAACAGGCAGTGTGGCACTGAGAGGAAGGAAAATAAAATGTTGAATCAGCAGCCCTAGATTCACCTCTCAGTGCTGCTTAGTGACAATGAGACCTTAGACGAGTTTCTTAATGGCTTTGAGTCTCAGTTTTCTTATCTATAAACTGTAGATCACAGCACCTGTTTAATGGAGTAGGAATGCAAGTTCAATAAGACATTCACACCAAAGTAATTTTCTAGTCCTGGTATTTATTCCTAAGTTCACCTTTAATCTTCAAGGGCTTTGGATCTTTTGTGGGGCAGACAGGTAGATGTAAAGAGCCTCCTCAGTGAATGCATACACATTACCTGACAGGACGACCGTGTCCTCACTTGCCCATGGCCTGGCCTCCCGTGACCTGACAGAAGTGCTGGCCTGACAGAAGTGTTCCTGGCCTCCTATGACCTGACAGGATGGCCGCGACCCTGCCCTCTTGTAACCTGACAAGACAGCTGTGTTCCCCTGTTCATGACCTGATAGGGCAGCTGTGACTGAGGCTTCCTGTGACCTGAATGTTAGCTGTGTCCTTAGCCTCCCTTGACCTGGAGGATGACTGTGTCCTAGTCCTCCTTTTTACTGACAGAATGGCCATGTCCTCTGCCCCCCTTGACCTGACAGAATGGCTGTGACCCGTGCCCCCCTTGACCTGACAGGACATCTGTGTCTCCAGCCTCACCTTGGAGGACAGCCATACTCTGGGCCTTCCCTGACCTGGTGAGATGACCATGACCCAGGCCTGCCTTGTGAGGCGGTGTCTGACCTTAGCTGTTGGCCATTGCATCTCATTTGTCTGATCACATCTGCTCTGGCAACACAAGACCTACTTAGTGTCCTCGGGGTAGACTTCCTCCCTCCCTCTCAATCTGCCTGACCTTGCAGACAACCCTTAAATTCCAGGCCCTTCCTTGTTCTCTTGGATGGGGTTTTCAGACATCCTGTCTCAGTGTTTTGTCCCCTGGGAACAGCTTGAAATGATGACACTTTGTATAGGACTTACTGATATGTGGTGAACTCTTGCTTTATTTGTTTGCTTCATTTCTCCATGTTCACTATGCAACTTTGTCCTGTCCATCTACATAAAACACAGCACTGGTCTTCTCACAGAAGCCCCACGCTGGTGTAAACTGTTAACTACTCAGATACAGACCAAAAAACTGGCAGTTGGAATCTGCCCAAAGGAGCCTCAGAAGAGAGGCCTCATCTACTTTCTGGAAGATCATCATCATTAGAAACCATATGGAGCAGTTAGTTCTTCCTTTGCCCAAACCACAGTTCTCTTCAGTTGCCTCATATACATGGGAGTCTAGTGGGCCTAGTAGATAAGGAATTGTGCTGCGGCCCCAGAGGCAAGCAGTTCAAGTCCACCAGCTGCCCTATGAGAGAAAAATGAGCAGTCTCTTCCTTGCAGTTTGCAGCCTCTAAAAACCCACTGGAAGGTCAGCTGTCAGTGGGTTCTGACTTAATAGCACAAAACAACAACAATAACGTATTCATGAGAAAGCTGAACAATGAATAAGGTTAGCAGAGCAGCATACAGATAGTAGGAGTTTAAAATAGGAAGTCTAAAAACCTAAAAGTAGAATTTTTTTAACCTCAAATCTTTTGGACAAGGTTAGACTTGGAGTTTGAGATAAGGATGTCTCTCATTTTACTCGATTGATGAAATATGTAGTATTGTTACATTTATCTACCAGTCATGATTTCTCTGGGGTTTGGGTTTTCAAGTTTCTGAATGTAAATTAGCTGCTGCTGCTTCTTTTTATTTTTTTTTAAGTTTCTTAAACCAAGGGTCACAGCAGGCATCACAGGACAAATTGTCCATAGAGACAACTTCTGATGCCTCACAATTTCTTTTTTATTTTAATTTTTTTTATTAATTTCAGTGAACATTAACAGAGATTTTGGATTTCCATTCATTCATTGTTGCACTTTTCTCCCCGCCCACCCCACCCCCAGTTTGCTCTTCTTGAAAAGCAAAAAAAAACTCCTTCATTGGTATACAATCCCCCCTGCAGACCCCCACCCCCACCCCGAGTATACTCCACTCTGCAACCCTCATTCTGAACTCTTATGAAAATCATAATGCCCTAAACTATATTACTTTTAAGCTGTTATCTCCCTCATTGGCAGTTTCTTAAACCTGGTTGGTATTACCATTCCAGAGAGCTCAGAGCTACACACAGCAAGTTTTGCAGAGGGAGTGCCGCCCCGGGTTTGCCAAGAAGGCTATGGCGCAGCTGTTCAAGGGCCGGTACAGCCTGGACCTGCAGCCCTTTGTGACGCCCGCTGCCAAGGTGGACGAGGCTGAGTACAAGTATGGCCCTCCTTTCGGATTCCGGAAGTTCTCCGGCATGGCCCAGGCCCTCTTGGAAAGCTTGCCCGAACACGACCTTCCCGAACACCTGAAAGCCAAGGCCTGTCGGCGCTGTGTGGTCATCGGAAGTGGGGGGATACTTAACGGTCTAGAGCTGGGCCATGCCCTCAACAAGTTTGATGTGGTGATAAGGTATGTTGCTTTCAGAGCCAGTCTTTCTTCTCTGGAGTTCAGTTTACTGTACTGTGTCCAGTTAATAACAATCCAGTGACTCAGAAAGCAAGCTTGGCTCCTGCCTGAGCACACTTAATATTTGAGAAGTTGGGACCTCCCCCCAAAAAAAGAAAAGATTGGATGCCCCCACCTGCCCTTCACTGGCCCTAGTTTTGAGGAATATGGGGTGGGCTGCAGGAATTGGGCAAGCCCTTTTCACAGAGGTAGGGTTTTACAGGATTTGCAGATTAGATTTAGGGAATGGAAGGAGGAGGGAGGATGCAGTAGACTTGAGGCAGGACTCCTGGCTCCTGGGAGCAGGGGGTCTCAGTTTGGGGGAGCACTAGTGACACTGCTAGCTGGGGTGCAGAGACCATATGGAGGAGCTATCCAGTGGGCACTGCTTTGGCTGGTTCAAAGTTATTTCCTTGATTATAAAATCAATATGTGTTTATTTTAGAAATTGATTGAGGGAGCTCTGGTGGCCTAATGGTTAGGAGTTGCACTGCCAATCCAAAGGCATGCAGTTTGAATCTACCAGCTGCTCTGTGGGAGAAAGAGGAGCAGCCTCTTGTTACTGTGCACTGTCGAGTCAGTGCCAACCTACAGCTGACCCTCCAGTGTGTTTTCAGAGGCAGTAAATCACATGGGGGGAGATTACCCATCTTTCTCCCGCAGAGCAGCTGGTGGATTTGAATTGTGTGCCTTTGGGATTGCAGTGCAGCTTCTTACCACTAGATCACCAGAACTCCCTATTGAATACAAGTAATTGTCTATTTAGAACACATTTGAGTTATGAAAAAATGACACTTAATGGCTTTTTAAAATGTCCTATCACTAATAATACTTTATGCAATATTGCAAGGTATAATTTGCTGATGTTATCATTCCCAAATGTTTACTCACAGATGTTCCAAGATTTTATTTATAAATACACTGCTGATAAAAGGCAATAAAGGGGAGGGGGACCTTACAGTAGAACAAGTTTATGATGGATCGTTGTAACAGAACCTTGTAAGTTGAGGACTACCTTTACTTTGGTCATTCATATTCTTGTTAATGAGGGTATCAAAAGGTGAATTCAGCTCTTTTCCTATTGCTGGACATTCAGATGTTTTTCTTTGTTATTGTGAGAATGTCCGTCTTTGTTTTTTGGAGACATTTCAAGAGGTAAGGTGGTTATTTTTTAAAATGTTTAGATGTTTTAAGACTCCTGATATATTTCAGTGGTTTGTCTCCCAAGAAGATTGTTCTTGTGTGAAGGATGTGAAGAGCCAGAGACATGATGAAAATTGGGTAGTAATAGTGTATATAGATTTGATTGAAGGAGAAAGAGATCAGGGCAGGGGTCTGGATTGAGGTAAACAGCCCATGAGGTGTGTAGACCCAGAGAGAGACTGAGAAAGAAGAAACAGCAATTAAGGTTGAACCTGAGAACTAAATTGGACAAATAAAATTTACTCTCTGTGTGAAGGAGCTCTGGTGGCTTAGTGGCAAGGAATTGTGCTGTCAACTCAAAGGTACATGGTATGAATCCACCAGCTGCTCTGTGAGAGAATGATGAGCTGTCTCCCATGCAGTTATTGCCTCTGAAAACCGGCTGGAGAGTCAACAAGGAGTCAGTTCCAATTCAATGGTACATAACAACAACTGACATTGTGACCATTTCAGGGAACAACCATATTTCTAGCCTGAAGTCAAAGGCCTTTGGTAAAGCTGCCATCAGAAATGCGGTAGTTGAGAAGAATTTCTGGGTCGTGAGAAACAATGACAAGCTCTATTACCAAAATTTTGAGCCTGAACGTGATGATGTGCCCACACGTGCCTTTGTCCCAGCAGAGATGACTTCAGGGACTGACCTAGCTTCTCAAAGCCTCAGTTGTGTCATCTGTAAAATGGAGACAAAATAGGGCCTATCTCCCAGATCACAGTGAAGATGAAGAGAGTTAGTGAACAGTGTCAAGCTTATAGTAAGTGCAGGTGATTTGGGAGACCCCAAAGCAGAGTATTCCATAGGGGACTTAGGAAAGAACCAGACTTTTGAAAGGGCAGAGCTGTAAGGACCAGCTGCTTGAGAAAGATAGCTTCCTCTGGGAATGCTGGGACAGGACAGCCATACTCACCTCTAGTCCTCAGTGGAACATGCAGTGCATGACACAGTGGTGTTGCCTGGCAAGAAAAGGTGGTTCGCGGTTTGCTTTGTCCATTTATCTCTGTTTTTTATTTAAATAGGTTAAACAGTGCACCAGTTCAGGGATACTCAGAGCAAGTTGGAAATAAAACTACTATCAGGATGACTTATCCCGAGGGTGCACCACTATCTGACCTTGAATATTATTCCAGTGACTTGTTTGTTGCTGTTTTATTTAAGAGTGTTGACTTCAGCTGGCTTCAAGCAATGATAAAGAATGAAACCCTGGTAAGCACTAGAGATCCAAATATCAGACATGTCGTAGTACAAAGTGTGGTATCTGCAGTCCATTAGATTGCAGACAGAGAGTGGGTGCCTTTTCCCACACCATTCCCTCAGTAGGAGAACGCCACAGAACTCCTAGCTGAAAAGTGCTTTCAAAACCTAATTTTGAGAGGGGGGGGTGTGTGTGTGTGTACCAAAATTGCTATATCCTGAACTTGACCACTCACCTTGACCATTCACCAGATTGAAGCTTTCATAGCTTTTGGAAGCTCCCAGAGATGATATTTCTTGGATGAATAGATACTATTATTAAGGATATTAAAAAGAATATGTGTAAATGGATACTGATGATGGTTGTGGAACATGACTAGTGCAGTTGTTGTCATTAAATCCTTCTCTTTCATCACTGAATTAATACATGTAAAATATACTCAGTTGGCAAATATTATATGGGAAAGCCTGTAAAAGCTAGAACCTGTGTAAGATGGAACCAATTGGAGAAGAAAAACATATTTACCACGAATAAAAAGTGGCAGAAAAGTGGTAAGACTGGGACATGTCCTAAGGGGGATATTTGCAAAACCTGGAAAGTAAGGCAGTGCTGTTGAGTTCCAGTTCTCACAGGTTTTGATGTGTTTGTACATGTGTGCACGTGTGTGTACATATTTGCATGTTTAAAGCCAATTAAAATAATTAAAAGTAAACATACATAAAATCTGTGAGGAATAGGGATTTTTCAAAAACACTGTGACTTTGTATGATGCCACCCTTGTGCAGCAGATCCTTTGGAATGGCTTCTTTGGGTTGGGGACTTCTTTGGGTTAGACTAATGGACTGGCCCACTCTAAGGCACTCTCTGCAGGACATCCTGCCCAAGGCCACACATGCCTACATCCATGCAGGAGCCTGATTAATAGGGTCTGCATGCTCACCCTGCCCTGAAAGGACGCCTTTACTCAACCCTTGTCCTAATCCTGCTCAATTTCTCTCCTCAGCCGTTTTGGATGCGACTGTTCTTTTGGAAGCAAGTGGCAGAAAAAATCCCACTCCATCCAAAACAGTTTAGGATCTTGAATCCTACAATTATCAAAGAGACAGCTTTTGACATCCTTCAGTACCCAGAGCCACAGTCCAGTTTCTGGAGCCAAGATAAGGTATTTTTGTTGTTATTGAAAGTTAATGATTCTTCTTTATATTTGAGGGGAATCATCTATACAGATTCCACGTCAGCTGAATTGTGTATCTTGAAACATCTGCAGTGGGACCCGGGGCATCGGTCAGCTCCACTCTGCACCTTAACTCGAACTCAAAGCATGTTGCCATCAAGTTGGAACCAACTCATAGCTGACTCTCTCTTGGGATTTTGGAGGTGGTAAATTGCATGGGAGAGATTGCCCATCTTTATCCCACAAACCTGCTGGTGGTGGATTTGAACCACCAGTGAGCACCACCTTTAATTAGCCATGCAGCTCCTTATGACCTGTGCCACCAGAGCATCCTGCACCTTGTGGAGGGTTCTAAACACTTTTATTGGCCTCTTCTGCTGCACCTTGTCTCTTTAATATATTACACTGTATTTATACTGTGGGAGGCATTCTAACTCTAGGGCTTGATAGCACCTAAACTGCAGGGCCGGAGAGCAGTGTGGCCCCCCAGGTGAGCAGGTGCTCAGGTGAACATTTACTCTGTAAGTGATGGAAGGAGACATCCCACTAGAGTGGAGTGCCCTTCAGCTGTTGCCCGAGTCCCCCAAACACTCTGGTTTAATGAGTCGGTGCCATAGTCTGTGCACGGAGATAGCCCAAAGCTCCCTGGGTGATTTCTTTTTTGCAGCCTAACGTGAGAACCATTGCTCTGTGTTGTTGTTTGTTGTTAAGTGCCGTCGAGTCGTTTGTGACTCATAGCGACCCTATGTACAACATCCCTAAACCCTGCTTTATCCTGTGCCAGTCGCATTGCCTCTGACACACCCATCCCGATTACCCCAGTCACTGAATCAATCCACCTCATAGAGGGTCTTCCCCTCCTGCGCTGTCCCTCTACTCTACCCAGCATGTCCCTCTCCAAAGACCTGTCTCTCCTTGTAACTTGTCCAAAGTATGTCAGACAAAGCCCCAGAATCCTTGCCTCCAAGGAGCAGCCTGGTTTAACCCTCTCTAGGATGAATCTGTTTGTTTTCCTGGCAGTCCATGGTATATTCAATACTCTTCTCCAGCACCACATCTCAAAGGCATCAATTCTCCTTCTGTCCTCCCTAGTCATTGTCCAGCTCTCTGATGCATAACAAGTGATTGCAAAGACCATGGCCTGTATCAGGCGCACCTTTGTCTCCAAAGAGACACCATTGCTCTTGAGTAATTTAGAGAGGTCCCTAACAGCAGACTTTCCCATTGCAATACGCCTTTTGATTTCCTGGCTGCTGATGCCAAGAGTGTTGACTGTGGAGCCGAGCAAACTGAAGCTGTGAACAATCTCAGTCTCTTCACCATCCATCCTGATGCTACCAATTGGTCCGGTGGTGAGAATTTTTGTCTTCTTGACATTGAGCCTCAGTCCTCTGTAGGTAATTAATTACAGTTGAGACTTTATCTGCAATTGGGTGCTGCCACCGTATATCTGAGGATGTCTTACTTACCTGTGGACTTTGTGGCTTGAACACTGGATCCATGTGGAAATCTTTCCTAAACAAAAATGGAAGCAGAACTCCAAAATACCCAAAAAAAGGAAGACATTTTGAAGAATGGGCCCTCATAGCTCAGCCTGAAGCCTGAAACGCAGAGTTGCAAACACTGAACACTAGACCCTGGTGTGGTCAGCTCTTCTGTTACCCCTGAGAATTTTAAAATATTCTTTAAAACAATTTGTATATATTAAAGAAAGAGAGTTGTGGTTAATAAGGAAAGCAGACATCTGAATACAGTGCCATCAAGTTCATGATGACGCACAGACACCTCTCACGGGGTTTCCCAGGCTGTGAATCTCAGCACCAGCCTTTGGTTAACTGTCCCATACGCCACATTTGATGCCACCAGAAAGCCTTTACAAAGGAGCACTTGTCTGGGTTTACACTTTATAGTAAATATGTTGTTGGTAGGTGCCCTCGAGTGGACTGACTCATAGCGACCCGATGAACAACAGGTCTGAACCTTGCCCTGCCCTGCACCGTCCCACGACCTCCACCGTGCTCAAGCCTGTTCAGTCACCATGTTGGTCCCCTCATTGAGGGTCTTCCTCCTAGTTCTTCCCTGTGATCAAATGTCACTGAATCCCTCTCCAGTTCTCTTTTCAGCCTGTGGCACGTCTCCGGTAGTTGAAGCTCTTCCTGCGCCAACTTGGTTGTCTGAGGTCTCAGAGCTGCCTCTGGTGCTGGCCTTGCTTGGTTCTCAGCAGTTTGCTGCCCATGAAACCGCAGGAGTCAGTGTTGCAGTTTTCCTCAGCGCCCTGCCCTCCTGTCCTCCCTCTGCTCAACTCATTGAGAGCCAGCAGGGCCAAGTGATAGCTGTCCACTGCAGGCTCCTATCCTCAGCCAGCTTCCCATCAGGTGATAGGCCACTCCTCTCAGCTGAGCTTGCTGAGGCCATGATGGAACTCTTACAAGGCTGCGTTCACTGCTCTTGCTTATACAGAAAATACGGCGCCTCTTCACCCTTCAGAACATGGACTTAAATTTTAATCTCCTCACATGGTTTTTAACAGACAGAGTGATGTCCCCTAGACCCCCAGGATTGAAACAGAATTTGGTGAGATTCTTAAATTGTAAAGAGGAGCGCTTTTGTAAATATGTTTGCATGTCTTTCAGTATTCTTCCCCTCCTTGATTTCTGGGCCTTTTAAACTGCCTGGTGTTTTTATTAAATTCCACAGTATTTTCTAAACCCAGGCAAATGCTCCTTTGTTGATAGATTTTATCTGGAAAGTAACCTTTTAAAAAATAAGTATTTAATTCCATAAAACATGAAGTTACTGAATGGCAAAGGATGTAAACAAAGTCAAAACACAAAATTAAGCCTATATGTGACAGAGTAAATCCTCCTAGACTACAAAGAGTTCTTCTCAAATAAAAAAGAGAAAGATGAGTCAGTAAACAAGTGGGCAAAGGAGGCAAACAGTCATTTCACAGAAGAGGAAGTTAAAAATGGGCTCTGAAGTAAAAGGAGCCAAGCTTTGTTTCCCCTAAAACCGCTTAAAAACAATGTGGCTGAGGGATACATTATAAAATGCTTAGTTTCTCCTACAGTCACATAAAAGCAAATGCTTAATAGCGCCCTTGGTGAACAGTAATATGGATAAAATTGCCTCTTTTTTTTTTTTAAGGTGGCTTGATAGTATCTTAACAGTTTCAAATATGGATGATCTTCCACCCAGCAGTTTCACTCTGAAAATGTTAATAATGAGAGTAACTAGCAAATATAGTGACAAAGAACTGATGTACAAAGACCAGAATCAATCTGAGGGTTTCCTTGATTGGGGCATTATTTAAACACATTTTATTAAAAATAAAATAAAAAATTACATTGTTTTCAAGTAGATTCTGATACAAAACAGAATATAAATTCTCCCATAGGATTTTCTAAGATCTAACCTCCTGGCAATACAACATTTGATATACACTTGCGTGAATCACAACAAATTATGGTTAACAGTGAGAAGAATGGGAATCTCAGAAAATTTAGTTGTGCTTAGGCGAAACCAATACCTAGACTGAGACTGTTGTCCAACAGAGCAAGGGTTAAAAATCATGGTTAAAGCATGAGTTAAATACAGGAAGGGTGTGTGTCAGGGCTGCATCATTTCTCCTTACCTATTCAATCTGTATGTTGAGCAGACAGTTGGACTTTATGAAGAAGAGTGTGGATTGGAGGAAGACTCAACAGCAACCTGAGTTGGGCAGACGACACAACCCTGCTTGCTGAAAGTGAAGAGTACTTGAAACACTTGGCAGTAGAGAATCAAAGACTGCAGCCATTGAGAAAAGAAAAATCCTTACCACTGGACCTAGATGTAACGTCATGATTGTTAGAGAAAACAGTTGAAGTTGTGAATGATTTCATTTTATCTAGAGCCACTATCAACACCATGATAATTAGCCACCAAGAAATCAAAAGACATACTGTGTTGGGAAAAATCTTCTGTCAGAAACCTCTCCAAAATGCTAACGAGTGAGGCTGTCTGTTTAAAAACTAAGGTGGACCTGATCCAAGCCATCCTCTTCAGTTATTTCCTATACACCTGAAAGTTGGACAGTGATTAAGGATGACTGAAGAATTGATGCCATTGAATTATGTTTTTGGAGAAGAGTATTTAATAACCTGTAGACTTCCAAACACACAAACAGATATGTCTTGGATGAAGTATAAACAGGACACTTCTTAGAAGCAAGGATGATGGAACTTTGTCTCATTATACTTTGGGTATGTGGCCAGGAAGAGCCACTCGTTGGAAGAAGACATAATGCTGAGAAAGGTGGAGGCTCAACCAAAGAGCGGAAGACTTTCCACAAGATAGACTGACACAGTGACTAACAGTGGGTTCAGGTATTTTAGAGGATGGCACAGCATAGGGCAGAGTTCAGCTCTGTGGTTCATAGTGTCACTGTGAGTATCCAAGATCAACAACCTTTTTGATACAAACTGTCACATGCTACTGTAAAGTGGCTGGTGGATTTGAACCACCAATCATTTTTGTAGTAGCCACATGCTGAGCCATTGTACCACTGAGGCACCTTAATCATTACGTAGTGTAAGGATAAAGAAACACTGATATTTCTGGATACAAAAATATACCCATGAGCAAAAAACTCAAAATGATAGAACATCTGTATGATCTCATTTTTGTTGAAGAAGAAGACTCTGTGTGTGTGTGTGTCCCTCCCTGTGTTTCCACAAGGCTCCCTGATGGTGTAGTGCATCACATGTTGGGTTGCTAACCAAAAGGTCACCAGTTCATATGCACCAGGCACTTCTCAGAAGAAAGATAAACACTCTCTTCTCAAAGATTTACAGCCTCAGAAACTTAACTGGAGGGTCTTGTCTCTGAGGGTCAGAATTGACTGCACAGCAGTGGATTGGTTTAGTAATGTGAAGAAGAACCCTATGAAGAATGCCTTTCTGTGGAGGATAAGTTTACTTGCTACTTTAGAATCCATTTATTTATATTTGAATTGAATATTTGTGTGATTTTTTTCATTGATAAAAAGATAAGTGGGCTTAGGTAGAAACCATTCCTTTTTTACCAAGTGAGGTGGGCTTTGAAAAACAGATTGTGCTCTTAGGAGCAAGAATCTATTGAAAACGTCATCTCAGAATCCCCTGAGCTGTGTAATTTATGTAGTGGTCACCTACACTTTCTACCTGGGGCTTAGTGGGAAAGATCTGTCCCACTTTTTTGGTGCATGCTGCCATCTGATGGGTGACTTTGTAACTGCATGAATCTGAAGAAACTGCTTTATCCTGTTAACCTCAGTACAAAAGACCCTTGGGAATGTATGTGCCACAATAATTATAACAGCATAAGAGCTCCGGTGGCCTAGGGGTAAGAAGCCATGCTGCAATCGTAAAGGCATGTGGTTCACATCTACCAGCTGCTTCAGGGAAGAAGGTTGGACAATCTCCCATGTAATTTACTGCCTCTGATAACCCACTGGAGGGTCAGCTTATGGGTTAGTTCTAACTTGACAGCACACAACAACAAGCAATTATAACAAAGTCCGTATTGCTTTAAAAAAAATTTCTTTTCATTCTAATCAAAATGCCTTCCTCTACAGAAAACACATGGTTTTTTTTCCAAAAAAAAAAATGAAAGCAGAAGATAATTTAGTCTTGAAATGAATCCCACCTAAATGTGTACACATACTTTGGACATGTTACAGGGAGGGACCAGTCCTTGGAGAGGGATGCCATGCATGGGAGGGTAAAGCAACGATGTCAGTCTGGAGACTAAGGTGCACCTGATCCAGGCCATGGTCTTTGCAACTGTGTGCTATGCATCAGAAAGCTGGACAGTGATGAGGGGTGATGAAAGGAGAATTGATGTCTTTGAGTTGTGGTGCTAGAGAAGAGTGTTGAATACACCATGGACTTTTAGGAGAACAAACAAGTTCATCCTGTAGAGAGTGAAGCCAGGCTGCTCCTTGCAGGCAAGGATTCTGAAGCTTCATCGGACATATTTTGGGCATGTTGCCAGGAGAGATCAGTCCTTGAAGAAGGATATTATGCTTGGGAGGGTGGAGTGACAGTGCAGGAGAGGAAGACTCTCCGTAAGACGGATTGATTCAGTGACTGGGGTAATGCAGGTGTGTGTTTTGGGGACAGTAAAGTTGGCACAGAATAGAGCAGGGTCAGAGCTGTTGTACACAGGGTCACTGTGAGTTGCAGGCAACTTGATGGCACATAACAACACACCTGTACACACAAAGGCTTACTGCTAATGCTGTTTGCAGAAAAGAGAGAATATTTGTTTCTGTAAACCATAGCTGGACTGAGATGAATGAAGGCCACTGCTGACAAGCTGCACAGTTAATCTATGGATCAGAAGCAGCACAAGCCCAAACTCAGCCCTTGCCATTGTGTCAGAACTAACTCATGGCTGACCCACCAGTGGGTTTTTAGAGGCAGTAAATCACACAGTAGGATATTGCCCGTCCTTCTCCCACAGAGCTGATGGTGGATTTGAACCATCAGATAAAGCACACCACCTTTGGGTTAGCAGTGACACCAGAGCTACCTCTCCTCTGTTACCTAGATGACTGGTAGGTTTGAACTGCTAACCTTTAGGTTGACAGCTCAACACTTACCCTGCCACACCACCAGATTTAAGACATCAGATTTATGGCCTGCAGGTAGACTTTAGAAAGAACTTTTCGCTTGCCATAAAAAGCATTTTTATTTTCAGACTGCCTCTTGGTGGAACGTGAAATGTAGTCACATGTTTTAGAGTCTAGATTCCTAATGTGGATGGGGAGTGAGACTTTAAAATAGATTCTGTGCATTCAATTTTAAAACAATACTTGCAGCCACCAATTCAGGTTTTATCGCATCACATAGAATGTACAGTACTTGAAAAGCAGTCAGTTGTGCTCAGACATTTTCATCCTCTTTTCCAGAACGTGCCCACAATGGGTGCTATTGCCATGGTATTGGCCACACACCTGTGTGACGAGGTCAGCCTGGCGGGCTTTGGCTATGACCTCACTCGACCCAGAATACCTTTGCACTACTTTGACAATCAGTGCATGGCTGCCATGAACTTCCAGACCATGCACAACGTGACCACGGAGACCAGGCTGCTGCTCAGGCTGGTCAAGGCTGGCGTGGTGAAGGACCTGAGCGGTGGCATCCACTGTGAATTCTGAGCACAGGACACCTCGCGGACTCTCCACGGGCCCGGGTGAGGCCTGGCCTGCTGGTGCATGAGTCGTGCAGATACTGAGGAGCGACTGGAGCCTTCTGACTATTCATTTAAAAAGTTTGTCCACCCCAATTTTTTTTTCTATTTATTTGAAGTCAGTGTTTTCGCACAATGTTTTGTAAGTTAATTTTCAGGATCAAACAATTACAAAGACTTTTAAAAGAGAATTTTATGTAGTGATGTTTTATTGTATGTTAAGTGGCTAACTTAATTAGTGAGAACTGTCTGAGTACTGCACGTAGGATGTCAGTATTGAGTGGTATGGAGAAGTCATTCCTTTGATAGTGGCCCTGCCCGTGCATGTCCAGCTCTTGGTCATTCTTTTGGCAGAGCTGAGGCCTGAGGCACTTCCGGGGAAGCGTAGTCACTGCTGCCTGTTCTGGTCCTGGTTCTGCACTGATGCTGGTGAGGCTGCGGCCTGGGGTTGTCCTCAGCCCCTGCCATCGGTGGGTACCGCCCTCAGCCCTGCTTGGATGATCCTGGACACCTGGGCAGAGAGAGTCCCTAGTGTCTTGTGTGTCCTGCACTGGGAAGCTACTCTGGGCACAGGCCCCTGAGCATCGAACCTTTCCCCAGCACGGAGTGACATGGGGACCATTTCTCTCTGTCACTGAGGTATCAGAAAGAATTAGGGTAAAACCTTTGCATCACACAGTCGTGGGGAAGAAACCTTTTCCAAGAATAACTGCATTTTTAAAAACACTGAAAGGAAACCCACCTGATGCTTAAAATCACCTATTTCGGAAGAGGGGAGAGAAAGAAAAAAGGTTTTTTGAATATTGGCCTGGCAGTGTGTACCAGGCTGGTCAAAACAGAATAAAAGACTTTTGAGGAACTCGCACAGTCTTATTAATTTGAGTGTGTTTGGGTTTTTTATTTTTAATTAAAGAAAATGAATCTATCTGGAATGGCCTTCTTGGCCACTGCTCCTCATAGGCCTCATCATGGGTTCCATTAGTGAGGACAGAGAAATAAGGGCGCCTCCTGGGGGAGCCCTGGTGGCACAGTGTGTTGCATGCCGGGCTGCTCCTCAGCTGCCACACCCCAATTCTCACTGCTCAACAGAACCCCATCCTCCAACACCCCTGTCCTCCCACACCTCTGTTCCCCAGCACATTTAGCACCCTGTCCTCAAGTGCCCCTGACCCCCAGCACCTCTGTCCCCCAACACACCTGTCCCCCAGCACCCCTGTCCTCTTGCATCTCTACTCCCCAGCACACTTACTCTCCAGCACCCCTATCCTCTAGCAGCCCTCTCCCCCAGGACCTCTGTCCTCCAGCACCCCTGTCCCCCAGCACTTTTTTTAAATTCCTCCAGCACCCCTATCCTCAGGCACCCTTGTTCCCCAGCACACCTGTCCCCTCGTACCCCTGTCCTCTAGCACTTCTGTCCACCTGCTCCCCTGTCCCTCAGCACCTCTTCTCCAACACTTCTGCTCCCCTGATTTCTACCTCTCTGGCTGCTCCGCCAATTCTCATGCTGGGATGCTCCCGCTGCCCACTCATGCAGCATCTGCTCCCATGCACCCTAACATGCAGAGCAGAACCTATCATGTGCAGATCTCTGAGGTATAGCATGGAGGGCCCGCCTGCAGGACAAAGTAGCGTATCTTCAGCATGAAGTTTTTTCTTAAAATTCTATATGGGTTTTACTTTCTACCCTATAAAATACTACTTGTTTAAAAGAGAATGTCTAAATTCTCATGAATTGATGGTGTACATATTTCTCCCTGTTCATCACTTAGGGGCTAGTTGTTAAGGTAATTTTGAGGTGCAGTCTAGTCAACAGCGACTCTGTGAGCCTGTGAACAGTGAACCTTGTCCTTTCCTGCACTATCCTCACCTCTGATAAGCATGAGCCCATGGTTAGTCACTATGTCAGTCTGCCTTGTTGAGAGTCTTCCTCTCCCTCTGGCCCTCCGTCTTTCCCAAGGACTGGCCCTTCCTGACAACATGCTCAAAGTATGTGAGACCATTTCACCATCCCTGCCTCTTAAGGAGTACACTGATTGTACTTCCTCCAACACATACTTGTTCTTTTGTCAGTCTGTGGGCTAGACAAGCCCAGGTTTTATTGGTGGTGGGTTTTGTTGTTAAAAGTCAGAGTTCTCCATTTCCTTGAACAGCTTCCTTACTTTACAGTCCTGGCTGTGAGCATGTGTAGCTCTGGGCCTGGCTCAGGGCTGGCCTTCTGCATGTCATTACTTTCCCACACCCGTGTACGTCTCCCCTTGTATCTCCTTTTTCAAACCCTGGTTTTGAGAAGCTCTGCCCGGGCCGCTCCACTGTTATTATTAACATACACTAAGCAATGAACCAGTTGCCATCAAGCTGACACCAACACATGATGACCCTGTGATTATGAGAACAGAATTGACCCCACTGGGTTCTCAGTGACTGGTTTTCGGAAACATCACTGTCACTCTTAAGAATTTTTTCTAGTTTATAGGCCTGGCCTTAAACTGCCTGCTTTTGGGTTGACAGTGCAACTCCTCACCCACTAGGCCACCAAAGCTGTCCTTTTATAGGTCCTTGTGCATCCTTCTTACAACAGATGTAATCAAGGATATTGAAGCCATTTATGAAGACTTAGCTCTGGTAGCCTAGTGTCAAGAAGCTGCACTGCAATCTCAAAAGCTTGCAGTTCTAATACACCAATCGCTTAGTGGGAGAAGGATGAGTAATCTCCCATGTGATTTTTTTTTCCTCCCATGTAGTTTACTGCCTCTGAAAACCTGCTGGAGGATCAGCTGTAAGTCGGTTCCAACTCAATGGCACACAGCAACAACCACCACCTAAATGTTCTGGGGACCTCTGGTGCTATAATATGTAGGGAGTTTCAGCCTTTGAAAACTCACCATAGTATCAGCTATGGAGCAATGAATTTTTTTGCAAATACTCTGTCTTTGACTGCTCTTGCTAGAATTTTGAGCCATATAAATATTCCTTCAGTTTGGGGGGATTTTATTTTGTCTTTTCCCCTACAGATAATTTATTCTGTCTAGAAACCAAGGATGGCTTTAAAACTGCTTCTGGGTATGAGATGAGCACATCCCAATAAACTCTCTAAATTTAATACCATTGAGTCAGAACTGACTCATAGCTGACCCTCCAATGGATTTTGAGGCTGTAAATCTCATGGAAGGAGACAGTCCATCTTTCTCGTGCAGAACAGCTGGTACATTCAAACCTCCACAGAGAGATGGATTAGCAGGGCAAAGGCCCACAGATTGCTATGAACAAGAATGCCTGGTTTTCCAGTAAGGTGTTTACAACTGCTTCCCCAACACACACAGTGGCACACATCCTCTGTTGAGTCTCTTCTGACTCATGATGACCACATCAGGTTTCTGAGGCTGTAAATCTGTACAAGAACAGACTGTTTTTCTCCCAGAGAGCAGCTTGTGGATTAGAACTGCTGACCTACCGGTTAACCTCCCACCATGTAACGAATGTACTTTGCCACCAGGACACCTCAAGGTGTTTATAAGCTCATTGCCATCAAGTTGGTCCTGGCTCATAGCAACCTTTCATTGATTTTCCAGACTGTAAACCTTAACAGGAGGAGACTGCTCCTCTCTGTCCAGTGGAACAACTAGTAGATTTCAACAGCCAAAGACACCTACCTGGTCTTTTGGTAATGGTGGTGGTGGTGGTGGTTATGTGCCATCAAGTCGGACCCTCAGACTTGATGTCAGAGGCATTAAATTGCATGGGAGGTGATTGCTCATCTTTCTGTCATGGAGCAGCTGGTGGTTGGAACTGCCTGCCTTTGAGTTGGTAATGCGACTCCTTATCACTAGGTCATGGGTTAGCCAAGATAACTGAGGTTCAGAAACCAATTCTCTACCCTCTTAAATATGCCTTGCTGTGACACACTGGTTCTTTTTAGTGTTTGGCTGGTTGGTTTGGGTTTGTTGTGGAAGTGTGTTTTTTTTTTCTCATTTTCCAGGAATATTTTAATAATCCTTTTGCAATATGTGTTTCCACAAACTATGAGGGTCTCACAGGGTTTTGGATGGCTTTTGTTGGATGGTGACTTGTGGTTACTGGAACACACATTGGTTTGTAAATGCAGATCTGTCCTTGGTTTCAACAGGTAAGAAGGCAGTGGTCATGCCATAGTCTACTGAGGCTATTAAAAGTTCCTAGTGGCAAGACGGTGCACTGTAATCTCCGAGGTACACGGTTCAAATCTACCAGATGCTCTGCTGGAGAAGGAGGGGGCAATCTCCTCCTGTACCAGTCAGATCTGATTTGACGGTACACGTAAAAATAATACAATAAAAATTTTAAAAAAAAAGTTCCTAACACTATGGATTTCTTGGCTGTGGCTAAATTCTAACCCCCACACTTGGGATTTTGTTGTTATTGTGTGCTCATAGCTAGCCCTCTGGCAGGTTTCCAGAGGCAGTAAATGGAACAGGAGAAGATTGCCCATCTTTCTCTTGGAGAGCAGATGGTGGATTTGAACCGTGTATCTTTGGGATTGCAGCATAGCTTCTTATCACTGTGCTCCCAGAGCTCCCTCCCTGGGACTTAACTCATTATAAAAGGGATTATTTTATTGACTTTGCACTGACCCATAAACACCTGTTGATCAGCATGCAGGACAAGTGAAAGGCAGTGGGCTAGTTCGCTGTTGTCAGGTCTCCAGTGTCCAGTGCAGGATGCCTGTCCCTTCTCACTGGAACACTTCCCTTAGGTGGGTTACAAGGAAGAAGCGAAATCATGCCTGTGACTTTTCAAACAATCCCCTTGGAATAAAGAGGTAAGCGCACCTGGACAGCAAGACCAGCATGACATCAGGCCTTCCTCTGTACACATGTGGAGATGAAAGGCTTCCCTCAAATTAAAGACCTTGTGTTTGCTGCCCTTGTGCCTTTTCTCGAAGCAGAGGTCCTCTGTGTGAGGATGTCCAGTTGACTACACTCTTAGCTCTCA